TGCGGCAGCCGGGGCACCGGGAGGAGGGTGCTGGAGCCGGAGACCCCTTTGCACTTGGTCGCACGTTAAGGGATGTGCCAGTTCCTGGGCGTGCGCTGCGGGGTCACCAGCACCCAGCCCCAGTGCGGGAGGCATGGGACGTCAGCCACAGCTATCGAAACACTTCCCTCCACATTCACGGATGTAAGCGTATTCTTTATGTATTATAAAACTGTAGATTTCATTAAAGGGGAATTGAAGCCCTCACTGAAGGTCTCAGTGACAACAGTCAGGGTGTTCCCTGCACTCAGAGCCACGTTATGAGCCTCTCACCCAAGGGGACAGACCACAGACGCACCTTCACAGCGGGGGCCTGGCCGGCTCCAGTTCCCAGACACCCTGCAAAACACCGCGGCATTTCCAACCAGGTAGTGGCCAGCGTCGCAGGTGTATGTTACAGACATGCCCGTGGTAAAAAATGCTTTGCCCTGGCCGTTGTGATTTCCATTGGCGATCTCTGGAGGTGCAGGGCATGGTCGGACTGCAAGGGGGAGACAGAAAGTCTTAGGTCAGCGAGAGAAGAGCAGGCAAGGGGGAGGGCGTGGGCGCCATGCCGCGCTGAGGGGTTAAAGCCCGCGGCAGGACCAGCTCAGCCTGCGCACACCGCTCGCCTGCAAGGAGCACCCGCCGGGCAACACCCCGCTCTCCATGCAGTAGATGGACATGTTCCCCACCAGCTCGTAGCCATCCTTGCAGCCGTAGTACACGGTCACTCCCCGGGAGAACTTGTCCAAGGAGTCTCCTCTGTGCAGCCCGTTGGCGATGTTTGGTGGCCGAGGACATGTCACCTCTGGAGAGGGAAAAGAAATTGCCTGGTGGGTCAGTGGTTGCCGTTTTGTGTGCTGTGAGGACTGTTTGGGTAACATCAGGGTAATATCCTGAATTCTGCTCAGTCTTTGTTCCGTTTGCTGGACCAAAGTGTTAGTTAACCAAAGGTACAGCAGCACCGAGATTACAATCACATTGTGGCCAAAGGAAATTACTGGGCAGTCCCGACAGAGGAACTCATAGGTGCATCATGGGTTTTGGCAGAAGATGCACGTGGACGTTGGAAGCATTAAGAACAGTGAGAAGTTGTGATTACTTCCCAGTCCAGGAGGAAGGCGAAAATGTTCCCCATCTCACCAGAAGCAGAGAAGTCCCCCTGGGGCAGCAGCCACCGCCGTCCCCGCAGCTCACCCACGGCCCCTGGGGGAAGTTACAGCCTCCTGCTGCAGCGCAGCTCAGCCGGGGGTTCACTCCTCCAGCCCCCCCCAGAGCCCAGGGCAGGGCAGGCCGCAGCCAGCCCCGTGTCCCACCCCAGCTCCTTTATTCCGAGCTGTTCCTGTCTCTCTGAGAGCCAAGCTGGCAGCACTTCGGTTTTAGAAGAGAAGCCAGGAGGGCAGATACATCCTGGCTTGGCTTTCCCACTGAATTTGAGAGGACACAAGAGGGAGCTTTCCCCCACCATGCCACCGCTCGCGCCGCGCTGGGACACTTGCCCTTTTTGCACACTGGCAGAGGTGGGCTCCATCTGAAGTCAGCTTGGCACGTGCTTGTGCGGGAGCCCCGCAAGGTGTACCCCGAGTGGCACACAAAGCTTACGGTGTCCCCGGCCCTGTAGAAATAGCGAGCAGGGGACACTGTTTTCCCATACTTGATGTGCGGGAACAGGCATTGGGTAGCTGGAAAAGAGAGAGAAATAAAACATCGTTTACCGCCGCAGCTCTCGAGCTGTTCCTGCCTGTACCCGCAGCCGTGTCGATGGTGTCCATGCAGCCTGTTGGTCCCCGAGTGATGGGACACAGCGGAGGCTGCAGCCGGGGCGAGTGCCCCCAGGGCTGTGGGGCTCCTCCCTGCACTGCTGGAGGACCCCGCTGCTGCCTCAGCTGGCAAGAACTGGGTGTCCAGGACTTCATGACAATCAGCTGGTGAGGTCAAAGCCTTTCACAGCCTTTCTGCATGCTTCTAAACCATGGAAGCACAGCCCCTGGGTCCCATCTGACCCGGGGAAATGCTGGCAGGACCCTGCAGGAGCGACCGAGCTGCACTCCAGGGGTCTGTGCTACCAGGGCACACAGCCGCGCGAGAGAGCCGGGCTGGGGGTGCCCAGCATGGGCTGGGGGTGCTGTGCCAGCCTGCCCAGGCCACCACTGCAGCGGTGTGGGGACAGACCCACGCCAGCGAGGGCGAAGCCTCTGCTGCCCCTTACGAGGGACTGGGTCCCATCTGACCCGGGGAAATGCTGGCAGGACCCTGCAGGAGCGACCGAGCTGCACTCCAGGGGTCTGTGCTACCAGGGCACACAGCCGCGCGAGAGAGCCGGGCTGGGGGTGCCCAGCATGGGCTGGGGGTGCTGTGCCAGCCTGCCCAGGCCACCACTGCAGCAGCGTGGGGACAGACCCACGCCAGCGAGGGCGAAGCCTCTGCTGCACCTTACGAGGGACCCAGCCGTGAGCCTGCTGGTGTGCTTCCAGGGGGACCGGGGGGGCTGCTGGCCCTGACCCCCGGGAGGGAGAGACGGGGAGGCAGGCATGCAGAGAGGCGGGCGGGCAGACAGGCATTCCGAGCCAAAACTGCAGGGACGTAGCTTTTTGTTCACAAGGCAAATATTTGCACTAGATATGGGAATGTAGAAAGGAGGTAAAAGAAACGCCTCTCGCTGGCAATCTCCTTCGGGTTACTGAGGCAGGGCCACAGCTCCGTCCCTCCGAGCTGCGCGGGCGCACCCCTTGCAGCCCTTCGCGCAGCTCCAAGGTCGGCTTTGCTGGAGAATCACAGCTCTCCAGCATCAAACAGCACACGTGAGCCATGACCGTTCCATCCACAAGCCAAACGCACGTCCATCAGCTGAACATACAGACAACCGAGTACAACAGAAGGAAGCACAACTTAACCTCTTTACAGTGTTAACTTAGTAATAATTCTTTTTTTAAAATTTTTTTTTTCCCAACCCTTGGCAGCCACCGCTGCTTGACTCAGGCTGCCACTGAGCCACCGCAGCCGGCTCGGGTTGGAGGCTCAGCCTTTGGTCTCTCAAGATGCCAGTGAATAATTAATGTGATTGAGGAAAGAGGCAGAAGTTTTCTCCACATGGTACCAATCCCCTTCCCAAACCTTGCCAGGGCAGCCGGGCTGCAGCACCTATGCTTACAAGACAGGAGGGGGTGAACAAAACTGTGCTGCAGTGATGGAGCTGAGCTTCTGTAGGTTTTGGCTGTCCTGTCCCAAACGAGAGGGCACCTCAGGCTACCTGCCAGGCTTCTGTGCCCTGCGGGCTTTTGGACCAAATGTGCCAAACAGCACAGTCCCGATGCCTTTCCCTATATCGTAGCTAATTTCAACTTGACAGAGCTCACACCCAATCTGTTATTGGGGCAGGCTCCTCGTCCCAGTGCCGTAAGATGCTGTATCTATAACCAGCTTTACTTTGGCAGCTTAAACACACGGGTCAAGCCCCTGGTTACAAGCTGGGCAGGTTGTGAAAGGCTCTCCATGGCCCCCCGTAGCGAGGCTCTAACGCCCTGGCCCCCGCTGTAGGGCACGGGTTGGCCCCAGTGCCGTCCCAGGGGGTCGTCTTCATTAGCAGAACAGCCCAGAGGCTCTGTGATGCTCAGGGTCTGGCGTGCCAAGGTCCACCCGGGACCAGCACAGGGCTCCTATCTGCCTCCGCAGGGAAAAGCAAAAGGCTCAGCGAGGAGAGGAGCAGCGATGAGGAAGAGGAGGGCCGTGGGAAGAAGGCCCCGGAGGCACAGACCTGTCGGTCTCCCTTACCTGGAGCCCTAGCCGCGGTGGCCAGGAGCAAAGCGGAGCTGCCCAGGAGGCAGAGGGCGAAGGCGAGCACCATGCTCCGGTCCGCAGCACAGACTGCGGCTCCCCAGGGGGGCTGCGGGAAGATATGGGCACCCCAGTTCCCCCCACCGCCCCCCGCATGCGGAAGCAGCCCCAGCTGGGGGGCTTCCTGGGGCCACGGGACAGGAACCCGTGGGCTCCCTGGCACGAGGTGGGTGCAGCCACCACCCCCTGGGGAGGCTGCAGGTCCCACACGCTGCTTCTGCTGCTGTTTTTGGCAGGGGAGGATGGGCCCTTGGGACCCACTGTGTGGCCCACGGGCATCCGTGAAAGAGGGAGTGTGGCGGTGTGCTCCCCCTCCACCTCTGCCCTCTTCCTGTCACCATGCTCAAGCAATAACCAGCTCTGGCCATCGTGATCGATGGTGTCTGGTCGTGATGGATGCATCCAGCTCAAAGTGGATAACGATACAACAGCCAAGGGCTGTTGTGCAATGTGTCCACCTAAGCCCAGCATAAGAAACTAAAACCTGTGCTCGGTATGCAAACATGACCATGAGCCAACCACCCCTACCCCCATCACCAGCGAGCAGCCCCTGAGCCCTTGGAGCTCTCCCGCACGGCAGCGGCTGCACGCTGGGGTCTCCCCGTGAGCAGGGACCCCTCTCAGGGTCACTCCTCGAGGCTGAGAGATTCCTTACCCCAGCAGATCCTCGGTGAGCAGCTCACAGCCTGCTAAACTTTGAAAGCTTGGCTAAGGGCCAGAAAGGATTGAGTGTGCATACGTAATCCTTTAGACATAAACCACTGACCAAGTCTGGGACTAGGACTGGATCCAGCCGCACCTCGGCTCCTCTCTGAGCAAGGAGTTTAGAAAGCCAGGGGGTCTTTTCTGAACCTCATGCCCCAACGGGAGGGTCTGCCTGGCAGCTTTGGCTGACCCTGCCCTCCATGCAGTAAATAACCAAGTATGCCTTGCCATCGACTCTTGTTAAACCACCATCACATTTGCCATTGAACTTCATTAACTCACCGTTATACATCAATAAACTGTATTTTTTGCCTCCTTCTCACTCCATTGGCGACTGGGGTGGGTGCAGGCACAGGGATGCCATTAGCCAAACCGTGCCCTCGGTGAAGAGCACCCTCAGTTAGGGGCAGCATCCCGGGTGGTGTGGGCAGCCCTTCCCGTGACCCAGCTGAAGGACACGGCTTGCGGGTCTGGCTACGGGAAGGGCAGAGCAGGGCATTCCCCCCTCCCACGCGGGACACATCGGTCCCTCGGGGCTGGGGGTGCTTGGGCCAGGAGGCTCAGCATGCAGCCCAGCCCCGCACACCGCCCTGCAGCTGTGGACCCCAACCCTCCTGACCTGCCCCTGGCTGCTCCAAGGCTCATCCAAGCCGGGTGCATCCCTCGCCGCTGGCTGGGAGAATAAAAATCCGCAGGCAGGACCTTCTGAGCAGCCGCAGCAGCCTCCAGCTGCCCACCACAGGGAGATGCTTTCTGAGCCTAACCAAGCAGCAAGGCACAGGTTACTCAAGTCTTTCTACCCCTTTTATTGACAGAGAGCTCCCACCATTTGCATACCTAATGTTTATACTTCAGAATTGCACTTGATTGGTTTCACTCGGATTATAAAGTAAAATTATGCGCAACTCAATTAGCAACGCAGTAGATAAGCCCTCTCCAAAGGTTAATTTTGGTGGCCGCACCCATGAGCGATGCCACAGCATTCACCGTTCCTCCCCTTTGGTTGCGGGGAGATCATTTCAAGCTGATCCCCAAATCAGCTGTCAAATGATCTGGAAAATCCACTCTGGACTATGCAGTAGGAACAATTGTGTTGGGATTAAAATAACAAACCAGGACACAACACGAAGCTGCGAGGCCTTACCGCTGTGGGTTTTTCATCTCGTCACTCACATGGCTTATGGTAAGAGATGCATAAAAATAACCAGCAATCTGCAAGTGCTTGTTCTGCAAGACTGGCTTCCGAAAATGGTGTTTCACGGTGGCCCGGTGACAGCTGAGGAGGACAGGGCTCTGACAGGAAGGGAGAACTTCGGGGGTTTATATAGAAGAAGAGTAACGTGTTGATGGAAATGGCTGGCTGTGGTTTTCCCTCGAATGAGATGCGTGTTCCTGTTAACAGGAAAGCACTGGTGAAAATGCAGAAACAAAAAGTATATAGTGGGCACATTTCGAATACTTCCCAGTCCCAACTGCGCCATCGTGAGAAGCTCACAGATGGGTCATTTACCTCGGCATCAGGCAAACCCCTGAACCTTGAAATCTTGCTTTACCAGCAGCAAAAGGTCACAGAATCCCAGAATGGCAAGGGTTGGAAGGGACCTCGGGAGATCATGGAATCATAGAATGCTTGGGGTTGGAAGGGACACCTAGAGCTCATCTAGTCCAACCCCCCTGCAGTGAGCAGGGACATCTGGTCCAACCCCAGGTTCACCCAGAGCATGTCCTAGCACCTCAAGCCGGATTCAGGCAATAGCCGAACACAAGTTTAAGTCCTGCCACAGTTTTGTTTCCCTTATAAATAGGATTCCCAGGAAGCCTTCAAATCTTTACTTCATTTTACAAGACGCTACAAACCTCCTCAGCTTATTAAACAATCACATAGCGAGGCTGAGTTAAAAACGGGAAAGGAAACCAACACCACAACGTGGGCTTTCTATCAGCCACACAAATGGGGGGCACTTTCCCCCGTGTCTTTGGTTTAGACGAGGTGAGCGAGGTCCCATCATCTCAGCTGTCCTCGTGGCACCGCCAAAGCCTGAACTGGGGGACAGCACTCTTCCTCCCCCACCTCTATCCACCCTCGCAAACCATCCTCAACACAACGATCCGCTGGGTCGGGTACAAGAGGGTGAATTCAAAGCGCACACGAAACATGGGGTTTGTGTCCTGTTCTCCACGGAGGAGCACATGAAGGCTTCGGCTTTGGGCATCTGCACCTACTTTGGGTGCAGCATCAGAGGAAGAATCACCCTGCGCGGCCGCCCGCCAGCCCTGCCGCCAGCGGGGCGAGAGGCCAAAAAAATGCTCTTCATCCCCAACAGCAGCAGCCCCGAGGCGTCCTGGGGCTAAGCTGGGTTCGGGGTGCACAGCACCACCTGAAAAAGCCTTTTAAGTGCAAATTCAGACAGCGATTCCCAGCCGTCAGAGTCGCCCCAGGCGGGCGGCATTTGAGCAGAAAGTGAGAAGGTTCACACGCAGCAACTTTCTGATGCTTGGTGGCATCTGCCAAGACACCTGCAAGTTCTGCATTCGCCACCTGCCTGCGGATGAGCTCCGCTGCCCCCGAGCGCCCACCCAGCTGGGTTCCTGCCGGGGCTTTCAGCCCACAAAAAGTTTCACCTCTTCGAGAGAATCGTTGTTTCACTGCAGTGGCAGGAAGGGTGTTTTCCGCAGGATACTCGCTGAAAAGCCTCGAAGTGATGCAAACATCATGCCAGAGCAGAGACTTGCAGCTGAAGTTTAAAACAAATTTTAGTACGTAGAGGAAGAGTCAGAATAACCTCTGCATTGCATGCGAATATCGCACCTAAGGCCTCACAGCACGAGCTAGTATCGAAATCATGAATTTTACAGTTGACTGAATTAAGAAGGGCAAGTTAGAGCAGCCCAAGGCCACCAGCAAGGCAGCTACACCAGCACCGTCCTGACCATTTATCTTCACAGAATCACAGAATGGTTTGGGTGGGAAGGCACCCCCAGAGGTCACCCAGCCCAACCCCCCTGCAGGAGCAGGGACACCTTGAACCACATCAGGTTGCTCACAGCCCCGGCCAACCTGGCCTGGAATGGTCCCAGGGATGGGGCCTCCACCCCCTCTCGGGGCAACCCCTGCCAGGGTTTCACCACCCTCACTGGAAAGAATTTCTTCCTTAGATCCAGTCTAAACCTCCCCTGCTTCAGTTTAAAGCCATCCCCCCTTGTCCTGTCCCAGCTGGCCCTACTAAAAAGCTTGTCCCCCCCTTTCCTCTGGGCCCCCTTGAAGCCCTGACCGGCCGCACTCAGCTCTGCCCGCAGCCTTCTCTTCTCCAGGCTGAACCCCCCCAACTCTCCCAGCCTGGCCTCAGTCATCCCGGCCTCCCCACCACTGCATGCAGGCCGGTCATTAACCAGAAGTTGCCCCTGCTGTGAGATGGGGTCTGGCCACATCAAAGCCACTAAATAAGGGCACTGGAAGTTGCCATTCAGGATGTCTGGTGGACCCCATGACTTTCCTGGAAGGAGAAGCAATCAGCATTAGCTTTATCTTACAGCACGATGGCGAAACGCCGGTGGCAGTGCTGTTCATGGCATTGCAGACTGATTGCCCATTTATCGGGCACCTCGATTGCCTCATGAGCAAGTACCAGCACTTGCAGAAAAGACACAAATTCCACGTTAACTCCGGAGGAACTGGAGGTTAAAACACAAATGAAATGCAAATAAAAGCACAAATAAAGCTAAGGTCAAATAAAAGAAGCCAAGCTTTATACACTGACTGGGAAACCAATAGAGACCAGTGAGCTCAGGGCAGAGGTCTTGGTCCGTAGGGAAACAGGACGAAGGAGAAGGGGACAAAGAGGTGTGTTGGCCCCAGGGCCGGTACAGGTGCATTACCATGGGGACAACAGGCTCCCACGGCCTTTTCCACGCTGTACCTCGTTTCTCTGCGAATGTATGGTAGCACTTACGCTGTACCACCAGATGGCAAAGTAAATGAGAAGGGCAGAGATCATCTCCCAGAGATTAATGTTTCTAAGCAGAAAGGGCAACCCCAGGCAGGCATGCGGGCGAGCGCTTGTTCCCAACTGTGCTAAAACCAGGGACCGGGAGCCCCTTCCCAGCCGTGCCGAATGCCAGTGGGGCCCGGGGG